CGTCCGAGGTGCTGCCCAGGGCTGCTCCCGGTGCATTGTCCCAGCCCGCTGCACCGCCAGGCTGGAGCTGGAAGGAGGATCGGTCTTCCTTCCCAGCCACCATCTTTCAAGTCAGTGGCGACTGCTGGAGAGGAAGGGAGGAGAGAGGCGCTGGCTTTGTTTGTCTTGCTCAGTCCTACGCTTTAAAACAAATAACTGAAAATGCAGCTGAGGGAAGCAGCAAAGCGGAATTCGGCATAGATAAATCACAGGGCCGGCTGAGCCCCATTTCCGATGCAAACCATGTGTTTGTTTTCCCATTTCCCATCCTTGCCTTTCCTATAAATCATGGAGGCTCCACCATGGGCCTTTCCCTTCCCAGAGCAAATGGCCCTGAAAGGAGGCGGGGAGCAGACACACCCATCCACGGAGACACGGAGCCCGCCACGGACTGATGCTGTGCGGCAGGCAGCCGGCCAGCCCTGGCCCCTTCGCTCCCAGTCGATGGCCGGTGCTTTGTCTCTGTGGCAACATACTCGAGAAACAGGAGGTTCCTGTATGGCAATGGGGAGCGAGTGTGAGGTTACTACCCACACCGCTCACCTCCACCAACTGGTGCTCGATCAGGATAACTCATTGCCTATAAAAGCCGAGTGTCGATGGGCAGATTGACACAGCTTCCACTTCAGCATCACCCTCACTAATACTCTGTCCCTCGGCTCGTTTGAAACCCCCTCCATGCAAGTTCTCCTGCCAGCCAGCTCTCGACCCCCACATCTGCAGACCCCTGGTGTGTCATAGCTCTGTCATACCAACCTTCAGCTGCTTCATGGCCGCAGCATCCTGGCTTTCCTGTGCTGCACTCTGACTTCCCAGCATTGGCTCTACACAGAAAAAAAAAAAAAAGAAAAAAAAAGGAAAGGTCACATCAGCCCAACAGCACACATCTCCTGACAATCCCTTTCCTTCCACACTGCATCTACACACTACATATAAGATCTCTACATGTCATGGGCACATCTCCTCCAGGCTGGAGCAGCCCTGCATGGCAGCAGCTGTGGGGTGGTTGCACATCTGGGACATGCACCACTGTCCCACCCTGCTTTGTGCCAGCCTGCCCTCCTCCACACACCCTGGGAGCACAGCCAGACCAAGGCAGGAGAAAAAGCTCCCCACCATCCTGCACAGGCCCCAGGAGCCAAACAGAATCCAACCACGGGATTCAGCCCTAAGTCTGAGGGGCAAGAATCATCACGATGAAAGGCCAAGCAAGAGGCAGAGACGTGGCTGCAATGTCGGGGTCCTCACAGAGCCCCAGACAGCCTCAGACAAGCAGCAGCAAGGGTTGAAGGGGAGAGCTCTTTTTTTGCCTGCTGACCCGGCCAGGATCCCCCTCACACCGGTCTTCTGGCATCCCGGCGCCCACTGGGCATCACAGGGCTGAGAAGTGCTCATGGGGGCACAGGGTGCCATGGGGCTGGGGGCTGCTCCATGCCAGCACAGGGACAGACCCAAGGCTGACTCCTCTTCCACACCTTGCCAACACTCCCGGGGACACCCCAGTGGGGAGACGCACCTCTGCTCTGCTTCAGCCGCCGCGTGGCCACCTTCAAGTGCTTGGTCCTGCCCAGGTCCTCCCCAAGGAGGTAGTACCAGCCACTGATCTCCTGGGTGGGAGGAAAGAAGCTGTCGATGCAGGGGCAGGTAGGCACCCCTGTTGAACTCAGCCTCGTTGTCCAGAGCCCCAGAGGGGTCCCATTGCAGGACCTGCCCCAGGCCAGCACACAGAGGCTGCCCAGATTTGTTCACACACAGAGGCACAACCCAGAGTCCTTCTCTTAAGATATAGCAACAGCTAAAATTCCATCCCCCTTGCAAGGAGGGGCCAAGCATCACTCAAGTACCAAGCTCCTAGGTTTTTAGAGGGAGACGAGGTGCAGGAGAACAGTCACCAGTAAAACTGCCCATATTGTGTTTGCAGCAGCCAGCAGCCTTGCGGGGAGCACATGGCTCCAGCCTTATCGCTAGAGGAGGATGCTCAAACCAGCCTTCAGCAGTGCTGGAGCTCCTTGGTGAGGCTCCCTTTGCCCCTGTCCCATGCCCATGTGGCCAGGGCAGCCAAGAGGACAGAGCTGACCTTGGCAAGCCCTCATTTCCAGTGCACTGCTGCTGTCTCCCATTGCTCCCTGGGCAGCCAGCAGAAGCTGGGGGGATCAGCCATCCTGGACCAAGTCCAGGAGTCATACAGGGTTACAGGAACCAGGCTCCCACAGGCCAGAGGAAGGAGCCCCTTTTAAAATGAGTGTTTTAAATCCACAATGAGGAAACGGAGGGAAGGGCGGGACATCCAGCAGCATCATGCAGCACCCAGAAGACAGGGCCAGCTCATCTTAACCCCCACTGAGGTCCCAGGAGGATCACATGCCCCCAGCATCCTCCTCCCATCCCTGTGAGAGTAGGGTGCTGTGCGTGGGTGCTATACACACGAACACTCCAGCCTCTCTGTACACATGACACTGTGAAACTCACTGCCCAAATCCAAGAAGGAAGGGAGATCTCTGGGGAGGCCACCTATGACCAGAGCAGAGACTCCTCCTGGGGAGGGCTGCAGTTTAGGGCTGCATCTTCACTGTTATCAAAAAGCCGCATTTCACTTGTCCAAATTTCAGAGGCAGCCATGCTCAAGCTACCTCTTGCCCTTTTCTCAGGTCACTGCCATAAATAGCTCCTTTTTAACCTCTTGCTAGGGAGTAAATTTCCACATCTCAGGCAATGTATTAACACTTTCACAAAAGCCTTCCAGCTTGCTGAGATATTCTGATGTACAGAAGAGATGACCAGGGTTGTCCAGGGATGAAATCCGTAACCACTGCCAGCTAGGACGAAACATTTCCATGTTTCAGTGGGTCGGCGGGAGTCATTTGCAGCAGTAGCCTTGCAGGCTTCTTTAGGAAGGCAGACCCAGCTGGTGTGAAAGCTGTATTACCAAGCAGCAGCCAGGCTGGGGCAGCAGTACTGTGACCAAATCCACAGCAGTGGGGACGTGGATTCTGGCGCAGAGACAGCCCAGCAGCACCGCTGCCTCCAGGAACAGCCCAAGACCCCTGCATTTGCCCTCTGCCCCCCACCACCTTGGCTGGTGGCGCCCTGGCTGCTGAGCGCAGGGAATCCGGCAGGTTCCTCGGAGGAGCAGCGTGTCCCCACCGTCGCACCCACTCGGCCACCGCCCGGTGTCAGATGTGACACATGCCAGGCTGAGCAAGGCTGGCCCCATCTCCTGTCCCCACGCAGTCCTGCTGCGAGCAGGGCAGGCAGCACGCACTGGGGCCACCTCTCTGCATCCCCAATTGCTGCTACTCTCTGTGTCCTTGAAGAAGGGAGTGACAGTCCCCTGTCCTAGGATCCCTCCTCTTAACAGCTTCCCCGACCCTGCCGCCAGCAATCACACCGACATCAGTCTCACAGTGGCGATCCGTACTGGGAACAGGACCAGGGAACTCCTCAGGCACCTTCAAAGCATCTTTGTCCCACGGTGGGAGAAGCCTGCTCCTGCCCCAAGGGAGCACTACATCCACCCACCGACCTCAGAGAGTCAGGCCCCAGTCCCATGATCTGTGCTCCGGCACGGAGGTACCTTGTCCAGGGTTAGGAGGGACTTCACACCAAAGCTCATGCAGCCGATCAGTTCACTCTGTCTGCAGGAGAGCAGGAAACCATCAGTACACCCTTGTTGAAAACTCCCTGAGCGCCAGCTCCCCACACACACCCCTTTGCAGGGACCCCGCAAACATCCCTGCCCATGTCGGGAGGCAGGCGGTGCCCAGGCTGTGCCTCCCTCTCCACGCTTTGAGCAAACACGGTGTAACCACACGGCTCAGCTGCAGCAGAGGCAAGGAGGAGCTGGGCTGAAGCATCCTCCTCACCTCCAACCTACCTGATGCTGGTAGGAGCTTGGCCGAGGAGGCAGATGCAACTTGCCTGAGCAGGCAGCGCAGCCTGCGAGGTGCCAGACCCCTTGTTGCTGGGCTTTCCTCCTCGCTGCATTGCCCCCAGAGGTAGGGAAGGTCCCCAGCCCAGAGCCACTTTAACCAGCAGTGCAGACGTTGAGTGGCTGCAGGAGCTTTAAATGCTGGTGTGGCTGATGTCTACCAAGCAGCAGTAGCAATGGCGAGAAGAGAGCGGCAAGGGCAGGATTTCCTCTCCACCAGCCTGCACACGGCGTGGTGCTCACCAGCACCGGCTGCCCACGAGAACGACCCTGGGCAGGATGCCCCACCAGCAGGTCCCAGCCCCCCTGCTCAGGTCCCCCCACTTCACTAACCCGCAGCCCTGACGTCAGGGCCAGCCCTCGAGGCCTGGGGCGCTGGAGGAGCTCGCGTGGGGTGGCCAGAGCAGATGGCAGACTCATCGCCACTCCAGCCCTGTTTGAAAGAGATCGTGTGGCAGGCTGGCAGCCCTTTACCTGGAATTTCTCTCTCGGTTCCAGACTGTGACCAGGAGACGTTTCTGCTCATGCTCCTCTTGCACTAGGCTGTAACAAGAAGAGGGGACAGCCTGTGAGCACTGACCTTCCCCAGGAGCACTCAGCAAGAGCTGCCCTCGCAGCCAGAGAACCTTCGCCCTCCTCAGAGCCTGGTCTTCTCCTCCTTTCTCTGCACAGAGCACTGCAGCATCAGCCCAAATGGCAACCTCCTCCAGCAAGCCACTGTTGCACTAATTCACTTGTTCCTAACAGAGAACTGCAAAGGGATGTGACCTCTCCTGGGCAGGCACTGGGGACACCACTCCGGTGGTTTAAGGGGAAAAATAATCTTTCAGAAAGACACACATCCAACAACAAAGGGTAAATGCAAGGAACAAGCACACTTCATGCTCTGAAATAACCACCCTATGCCAAATTAAATGCTGCATGGGGACAAAGGTCTGACACAGACTGGTTAGCAGGCAATGACAAGCTCTACTGAAACACCGAGCCATACAGCTCCTTTGCCATGCAGAGACATGCTGTAGCTATAGGAAATCCTTTTACCTTCCTCATTCATACCGATGCCCATACTATCGCAGGCGTAAGGTCTAGGAAATGGAGTATGTTTGTCCAACTCCTGCCCAGCAAGAAAGTCCAACCGTGCGGGAGCACCGCTGCCATGCTGTGCGCTGACAGCTTGGTGAGCCTCCGCAGAGCTCTGCCCAACAGTTCAAGCATTTCAGCTATAAAAAACAGCAGAATAATGTCTGTCACTCCTCATCACAGCAGCCGACCTGCTCATGCGTGATGCGTGTTTATTATAGATCATAACGCAAAAGCAAACACGGGCTCTTGGCTTTGAGGGTACCCCAGGACAGCAGCCACGTGGGTCCCCCACTGCTCAGTGCGAACACGGTGCTGACAGATGGGTCAGAGCTACCCTCTGCCCTGTCATACTCACAAAAGAAAGTGCTCGTGGAAGACGGGATTTTTGCTGTCAGGCACAGTCTTCGTCTTTTGCCTGCACTTCCAGTCAGCATCCGGCACAATCGACATCTTTACAGAGGAAAACAAGCAGCGTGTTAGCACTCTCAAAGCAAGCACTGGCACACAGCTG